GACTAAATAAGAACAGGTCCATCCCCCATCCCGCATCAAATTCATGTTGAATCCCCAATGGGACTATATTTGGAGATGGGGCTTTTTGGAAAGTAATTAAGGTTAAACATGGTCATAAGGATGGGACCCTAATACAATGGGATTGGTGTTAACCAACATCCATATGTACAGAGGAAAAGCCATGTAAGGACATAGGGAGAAGGTAGTTATCTACAAACCAGAAAGCAAGCCCTTTCCAGAAACTGAATTTGCCAGCGCTTTGATTATAGATTCCAGTCCTTCAGAATAATGAGAAAATATGTGTTTGTTGTCTATGCTATCTAGCTTATAGCATTTTGTTGCAGCAGTCCAAGTAGAGTAGACTAACGTAATCAGGAATACTCAGAGCCCACAACACAATGACTGTAGAAACCCAAAATGCAACTTGGAACATGAATTTGGTTTTGGCCCTGAGTGTATTTTAAAAATTTGGTAAAGTGGGCTGGGTGTGGTGACTCACACCTATAATCCTAGCACTTTGTGAGGCAGAGGTAGGAGGATGGCTTGAGGCCATGAGTTTGAGATCAGCCTAGGCAACATAGTGAAAACTTGTCTTTACAAAAAATAAAAGATTAGCTGGGTATGGTGACAAATGTCTGTAGTCCTAGCTACTTGGGAGACTGAGGCAGGCGGATTGCTTGAGCCTAGGAGTTCAAGATTACGGTGAGCTCTGATTGTGTTATTGCTTTCTAGCCTAGGTGACAGAGTGGGAGTCTGTCTCCAAAAAATAATAATAATAAAAAAAAATTGGTGAAGTAAGCTTTGGTTTTCAGTGACTCATGAAGAAGAAAGAAGGATCAGGAGACAAAAGTCAGAGCCTACCAACGTGAGGACTCTAATATGACACCCCTGCATTGAGCTGGGGTAGTTAAAGCTGTACCTATAGTGAGGGTGAACTAGAAATAAGCCTGTCTTCCTTCTCACCTGCCTCTACAATCCTCTGGGTGGATCTGGAAACTAATTGCTCATCTCAAACCTTGACACTGACAATGAGTAAACAAAAAACAGAAAACTTCCTCTGAGAATCTGTAACCATATGTTTCCACGTGTGTTTAAAGCCTCCATATTACTTGGGTAATTTGAAATCTTCACAATGAGAATTAAGTGTGAATAAGTTTATGTCTACTAATGGTCCTACTACCAGGAAGAAGCCAACACAAACCCTTTCTGGAAGAAATCACCTTCCATTCAGGAAGAACTCACAGAGACAAAATTTATCCTTTTAACCACTCCGTCAAAAATTATAAAACAAAGAAGGAAATACAGTTTTGAAAGCAAGAGGTAAGAAATAACAGAGAATAGAATCAAACTTTAGGACTTCAGATACTGACATTAATAGATGCCAAACATAAAATATTTGTAATACATTTTAGAAATTAAAGAAGGATCTAAATATATGAGTAAGGAGCAAGCAACTATAAAATATGACCATGAACATTTGAAAAAGAACCAAATAGGACTTTACAAAATAAAAATTATATTTGGAATTGAAATATATTGTTAGTAAATGAACTTAACAGGTTAGATATAGCTGAACAGAGAATTAGTGAAGACAGTGAGAAAGGGAAAATATGAGAGAGGTTAAAAAACATGGAGGATAAATGAAAAAGATTAACACATCTTGTCAGACCTCCAGGAAGAGAGAAGAGAGTAAAGGAGAGGAAACAGATGAAAAGATAATGGCTAAACATTTCCCCAAGCCAATGAAAGACACAATCCACAGATTCAAGACACTTAATTAATTCAAGCAGGATGAATACAAAAATATTCACACCTAGACAAATAAAAGTGAAACTGTACAAAACTAAAGACAAGTAAAATACTATAAAAGCAGCCAGAAATATTCAAAGGAATGACATGAACTGATGGCAACAATGGAAGGTAGGTGACATTGGAACAATATCTCAATATGCAGACAGAATACAACTATCAACTATGAATCAAATGTCCAGGGAATGCTAATGTTCTTTCAGTAAAAAGGGAGAAGTAGACATTTTAAGACAAATAAAAACTAAGAAAATTTGTCATCAACAAGAGCATAAATTTTAAAGCATGTATTTTAGACAGAAATCCAGAGAGAAGGATTGACAGTCAAGAAGGAGAGGTCAACAAAATGGTAGGTATATGAATGAATCTAAATGGACATTGGCTTTATTTTAATAGTAACAATAATGGCTTGTAAGAAATGCTAAGAAAATATGAAAATTGCATGCATCATGGAGTATGAATTAGGAGGGAATAACTAAAGTTATAGTGTTCTAAGATCCCCGAATTTTCAGAAGAAACACAAAATTATCTAATGTTAGACTTCATTAAATATGCATATTAATTTCTGGAGTACTTAGGGTAACCCTAAAAGAAAGAAATGATTCTATAATTTAAATGGTCTAAATTCTTTAGTTAAAATATAGATTACCAGCCTGTATTTTTAAAAGCACAGCTATATACAAAGCACATCAAAAGCACAAAGAAATAGAAAGGTTGATAGTAAGAGAATAGAGATGATTTATTGGACAAAGACCAAAAGAAAGCTGATGTAATAGCTAGGGGAAAAAACTTTTAAGGTCAAAAAATTACTATAGATAAAGAAAGTCACTACCTAATTATTTTTGAAACAGTTCAATTCACTGGGAAGATATATGATTCTTAACTTGTGTGGTCTAATAATACATTCACAAAAAATATAAAGCAAAAATTGACAAAACTTCAAAGAATAATTGACAAACCCACTATAATAGTGGATGATTGATCAAGAAGACAAAAAAAATCAATGAAGATATAAAAGACATAAACATAATTAACAAGGTCAATGTAATGGACATGTTAGAACACAAAAGACCACACAGAATATATGCAAAAAACAATCACTTATGTTCCCCAAAGCACAAATATCAAATACAGACTAATATTCTCTGACTACAAGATTTAGAATCTTGTACTAGGACCACTAGTAGGCAGAAACTAATGGGAATTAAGAAATATTTTTAAATGACTCAAGGTTGAAAGATGTAACTATGACGGAAATTAGAAAATATTGAAAAAATTAAAAAAATATAAAAACTTTTGGAAATACTGATTAAAATATAATACCTATTAGAAAAAATTCAAAAGGGAATAGAAACACAATACTAGAGATCATAAATATAACAAAAGATGATGTACACAACTTTATATCTAGTAAATTTGATGATTTACTATTAAAATAAACTCAAGAAAAAAAACATATGACTTAGCTAATCCCTTCATCATTACAGGTATTAAATCTATAGTCTAAAATCTTAAATCTGGTGCTCACATCATACCCAGATAGTTTCACTGAAAAATTCTACCAAACTTTCAAGGCAAAAAAGTTACTGAAATCTTCTACCAATAACCCTAAAGGGTAGAAAAAGAGGAAGCACTCTTCAAATAATTTCATGATGCTACTAGCAGTATCTTGATGCAAAAATCCAGCAAGGGAAATATGAAAAAATATCAAGCCAATGTCACTAACAAAACAGAAGCAAATTATTAAACAAAACGTTAGCTAATCAAATATAGGCATAGGTTTATCCTATAGTTAGGTTTATCCTAGGAATGCAAGGTTCATTTAACACTAGAAATGTCAATCAATGTCACTACACTAAGAGAATAAAGGGAAAAAATATGATGTTATCAATAGATGTAGAAAGGCACTTTAAAATTCAATATGCATTTGTCATAAAAGCTCTTAGTAACAATTGGAAAGGAACTTTCTCAGTCCAAAAAGGAGTATGTGTAAATTAAAAATAAACTTCAGCAAACATCACACTTAATGATGAAGAAATAAAAACATTCTATTTAACAAGAAACTATGACCAGCAGCCCTACCATCATAATAATCATGTGATATTATCCTGAAGGTTCTAGCTAGAACAATGAGGCAAGAAAAAAAAAAAGAAAGTAATAAAAGGTATAAGGGCTGGAAAGGAAGACATCAAACCATAGTTGTTTGCAGATGATGACTGTCTACAAGAAAAAAACCAAAGAATTCACAGATAAATTATCACAACATGGTGGCTATATGTAAAAGTCAGAGCATAAAAATCAACTGCATTTCTAAATTCCAGCAAAAAACAGGTAGAAAATGCAATAAAAAATGATATGATTTGTAATAGCAACAACAAATAAAGGATATCTAGGAGTGACTATATTAAGAAATGTGTAAGATCTCTAATGGAAAAAATAATACAAGTGTTCAAAGCCATTAAAGAAACCCTGAGCCAATAGATATACCATATTCATGGATCGGAAGACTCAATATCAAAGATCGATCTGTAGTAGTTTTTATATTATTAAAATAAAGTTGCCAACAGGTTATTTTGTGGATTTTGACAAGATGTTTGTAAGATTTATAAGACAGAATGAAGAACACACACATACACACACACACACACACAAAAAAAAAAAACTAATAGGAAATAAATTTATGAAAAGGTGTATACAGTGGTGCAAAACTACACACAATAACATAGATAAAACTTAGGGACATAATTTTAAGTGAAGTTGTTTAAGAATACATACAACATGATTGCACAACATGTAATCACAATATGATTACATTTACATGACATTCAAATGTTGGCATACTAAGCAATGCATTTTTAGAAATACACAGTTAAGTGCCATGTGTAAAGAAAAGGAAAGTCGCCATTGAGGTGACAGTTAACCTCTGAGGGTATAGGGCAAGGAATGGGATTGGTGAGAAGCACACATCACTAAGGTAACAGCGATTTTTCTTTTCTTAAGCTGGAAGATGGCTGCACAGGTGTTTGTTGTATTGACGTTCTTTCTAGCTTATATTTTATAGATATGCTATCTGCTCAATATTAATGAAAACAATTTAAAAGAACTGTCTATCACCCAAAGTCCTGGGCTTGAAATGAACTGTCCCCCACCTGGCCCTGCCCACAGGTCACCACTCCCTTCCCCAAGAGCCTTACCTTGGCGGGGTTGAGAGCTGTGATGATCCATACACAGTGTGCATTGTTGTCATATTGAATGGGGAAATTGGGGGAGGTGATGATGCCCGAGGGGCCTCGAAGGTGGGCATCACACATGCGGGCTGCAGAGAGGAGATGAGAGATAAGCCTCTGAGTTTAGACCATGTCCAACTCCCCTCACCACCTTCCACTCCCAGCCCAGAAGACACTGAATCTGTACATCCCACCCCAGACATAACCTTCTACTTCCTGTGCCCATCCCCTATAATTCTCTGCAGGCTCAAAGGGAAGCACAGTACCTGGAGCTCTGGAGCAGGAGCAAGCTCTAGATGCCCTGTCCTGCTTCTCTGTAGGCAATAATGAACTTCTAATGGAGGCATGATCAGCACCTCCCTGGCGTGCCCTGTCCACCCTCTGGCCACAGCTCCACAGTGATGGAGCAGCTCTTCTTCACCAAGAGGGTGTAGGCTAGTACTATTTGTGTTCCCCTAAAGCTAGGTGGGTCTGGGCACCTCTGAGCCTGCTGAGCAAACCAGGTCTTGCTCTGTTGACTTATTTGCACTCTCGCCCTCCAAACCAGCTGAGTGCTGCTCTGCACCCGAAGCAGCTTAACTGGGAGTCTGATCTCATTCTAGGTCCTGCCAGCCCTCAATGCTGCCCGGTGTGACACCCCAGGTTCCTTGCAGTAGAAACTCAAGATGTCCTTGTCGAGGCCACCCCATGAGGTTTCAGAATGTTTGTGCCCAAGAACTTTGTGAAGGTCCCTGCCTCAGCCCAGTGCCAGGCACCCAAAGTAATTTCAGCACTTCCCCAAACCCGCTCCACACTCAGCTCATGCCTGAAACAGGCTTTTGACTGGAAGCGTAAAGATTCAAGGTGAATTAGAAGAAGTGCTCTACTCAAGTAGATATAAAGTGTTATCAATCACAGCTTAATCTAATTAAGCTCTTTAAAATAGCTTCTAAACTAATTAGATTAAGTAGTGATTGATAACAGTTAAGGTACTACATTGTACCTAGGTGTTTGCTTTCTTTAAATACATGTACTTTAGTTCTAGCCACTTCATTCTTTAATGTTAGTGCTCAGCTATTTTAATAAAGGGCTCTATGAGCCTATTCCGTGGCTGCCCACATGGCAATTTATCCTAATTGTAGGCAAAGTGCCTCAAAGTAAGGAAATAGTGAGCAAATGCAACCAGCCTAACTAGGTAATATGAAGCTGGTGTCAAGTCTCGTTTCCTCCGATGGGGCTAAGTATCTTAGAACTCCTCTCCACGTGTGGACAAGGCTGTGCTAAAGTTCTCCCAGGCTACCCTGCCTAGAAAGGTCTTGGGAAGCAAGGACCGCAGTTCCTGGACAGAATGAACCTTTTCTCACGTCATGCATTTGTTCCTGTGCTCATTCATTCTGACATTTACTGAGTGTCTGTCATGGGCCAGGCAGAGTGTGGGGAAAGAAAGTTGACGCCACTGCCTCTGAAAAGCCATGTCAAGTGGAAGAAAGAGGGGTGAACAAAGTTGCAACCAAGCAGAGACGGTATTGTCAGAGGGTTATTTTCAAGGGGGTTTGGGATCGGAACTGCTCCCTCGTCTCTGCTAGCTCCACACTTCCTGTGAGGAAGCCCCTTCTGATGGCTCACCCCATCCTACACAGGAAGGCGCTGAGCTCCAACGGCAGGTGAACCAAGTTTGAGCCCTCCCTCCTCTCCCTTTTATGTATCCGATTGCTCCTTTAATTCTATGCTGAGAAACACTGAGATCCACAGATTGTTCTTGATCACAACTGGGCCCTAAGGCAGTGTGGCATGGTTGAGGCCAGGTCAGCCTTTGGGGTTTTGGATCTGAATCTATTTGCAGGTTGTTTAAACCTTGATAAGTCAGAAAACCTCTCTGATCTGCTTCTTCATCTATCAAAGGTGAGTGATACTCCCTCACTGAGATATGGTGAGGATGGATTTAAATATGAGATGAAAGATATGAAGGCTCAGCCCAGGATCTGGGCCAGGGTCAATATTCAACTTTGGGGACCTAAGATATCAGATTCCCAATGCCATGTCCACTCTGTTTCTCTGTGCCCGAGATTTCTCCCTAGGCTAAAGCTCTTTTTTCTACCTTTCCTGAAGTTTCTCAACATAGATTCTTTCCCCCAACCACATCTGAGACGGACAACATTACCAAACAAATTAGCATAAGATAATCAAATGCAAGACCCTGATTCTGTCCCACCTTTGCAAAGAGGACCTGTGGATTCAGAGCTCTCACCCTGTGGAGCAGCCTTACAAATCTTTACCAGCACTCTCCTATTACATCGCTTCTGGAAAGTCAGATTTTGCTGCCAAAGCCCTCAGTTTCAGACTCAATTTATCTTACACTCGTTTCCCAGAATTAGATGGTATTTGCAGTCTGTTGAAACAAGCTGAAAGTAATGAGAACAGGCCAAAAAGGCATTTACCACTTTAAGGGCTTAGAAGGGTTTAACGAAAATTATGACCTGCAGATAGTTAGCACAGAGCACCTTAAACCAGGTTCAGAATGGAGAAATAGCTACTCTTTGCCTCTGCTGTCTGGGCAAGGTCAGGGGTTCCGCAGACTGACAGAATTCCCCTGAGCATCCAGCCCCCGGGAGCAAACCAGCACATGGAAAGCTCATCGCAGAAACCCAGATGCGTAGCAAAATTATAGGTGCTCAGACAACATCTCAATAAATGGTTGAACATATTGTTATGTTTCTTTATTTGCTTTTCCTCATCAAACGTTCCTCTGGCTAGCTTGAAGAAGAGAAATTCCATGCTTGAGCTCTGCAGCCACTCCTATGTTTGGTCTGGACATCACTACACCATATAATGGGGACAGTGCCCCAGGGGACCAGGGAGGGGAACACCACAGCCAGTTCCAGCACTGAAATAACTTGACACCAAAGAAGGGAACTGTTCCAGAGGCAGGTGCCCCTGATTGCCTGTCTTCTCACCCAGCTGTCCAAGCCAAGCCAAGCTCTGCGTGTAACTGCAACATCTTTCGGTACCTCCTGTTGTTGCGACTGCCTTTCTGAAGCCCATCCCCCCCCTCCCCAAGCCACTCCCTCCTCTGTAGCCTCTGCAGTGAAGATCTTGCTCCCACCTGTCAGTGTTTCTTTCCACAAATGCTTGCAAAACCCAGAAGAACTCATCCTGTTCTACTGTCACCTCCACTCTGCTGACATCAACATCCTCTCTCTACATCAGCCCCTCCTGTCTTGTCTTCTGTCCTTACCCAAACTTAGATCCCATGGTCCACCATTATGAACATTTTCTTGCAAGTCCTCCCAAGTCCCTTGCTTCTTTTTCCTTTAATCAGTTGCCTGGAAGACATCAATTGTGGATAAACCCCTCCACCCACATCCTCCATACCTACCCCTATGAGCTTGAGTTTTGCTGGAGAAAAAAAAAAATCACATGAGTAGGAAGAGTGACATCATTATAAAGTCATGCTTACCCACCTCAAAAAATCCTACCTGTTGCCCAGTGACCCTACCATTTAGCTCTATTAGCTCATGCTCTTGTTCTGCTCAAAGACCTTGTCATGCCTTCTATCTTGCCACTCAAACCTCTTGCCCCTCACCTCCCCTTCCTCTCAGTTGATGACCTCACCTCACTCTTTATGGAGGAAGCAGAGCCATCTACCTGGCAGGCACATCCCCTCCGCCACTGCCTAAAAGTACAATACCGTCTGTGTCTGTGCTGATTTTCTTTTTCCCTCCTGTTCCAACAGAGGGATGCTCCCTTCTTTTGGAGGCCACCCCTTCTCATGAGATCGGCACTCTGCCCTCCCTCTGTCCTGAGAGTAACCATGTCCACAGTTGCACCTAGCACCCAGCTGTCCTGGGAACCCAGAAAGTCTAACTCACAGATCTTAATCCCAATCACCCAATTTCTTCCCCCACTGCCTATGCTCCCAGCAGAGTGACTTTGTCTCAGTGCACCTGCTGTCCCTTCCAGCCCTCTGGTTCCCACATTCTGTCCCTCTCTCTATTCCCTCCTGACCTCTCTTCTTTTACTACCCAGACTGGACCTCAAGACAACTCACTGATATCCTCAGCTCCACCCATATGCTCAGATCTGCTTGGTGAAATGCCTATATCCAGTCAACCCTACCAGCCACCTCTTCTATTTCCTAATCCAGGGGCCTGGGGGCTGCCAGGAGAACCATGGTGGCCCCACAGACTCATGGTTTGCCATCACAATGGAAGCTTCAGCCCTCTCGCTGGTCTTCCTATGCTAGCTCCTTGCAGAGACATGTCAAATGTGATGCTTGGTGGAGCCACATAACTCTAATGGTCGCATTTTATTATTAGACATGGCCTCTCCGGAGTACCCAACCCTACTGACCCTTCTCTCTTGTGAGACTCATGTTCTTTGGCTTCAGTGCTGCCTCTTTTCTCCTACCTCTTACCAACTCTCCTCAGGTTCCTTCTTCTCCATTAATTCCTTAAAAGCAGCTGTTTGAATCTGGGGAAAGTGTATATGGCAATACTTTGCACATTAATTGAAATTTTTCTAAAAGTTTAAACTTACATTAAAATAAGTGGGGAGTAGTTCTGCATGGTTCCATCCACTATATTAACCCCAAAGGATGTCCAGGTGGGGTTTGCAAGCAGAAGTGGGATTCGGCCTTTGGAGTCAGGGTTTGCAACTCGGCTCAACAAATTAGCTTTGTGGCCTTGGGCAAGCTAGCCGACCCCTCAGAGCTTCAGCCAAACATAAAATAAGGTTATTGCCACTTTCCTCATAAAGAAACTATGAAAAGTGCCCAGTGCAATGCTTTATACAAGTATGAATAATTTAATAAATGGGAGCTTTATTATGATCATATAGGTACTCAAGACACTCCCAGGGCTGCAGCCGTGGGCACGTGTCCTAGGACAGTCAGAAGGCATCATGTAGGGAGAAGAGGTAGAGAGAAGAAGGGAGGAGACAGGGGCAGGACAGGAAGGACACAGCGGCATTTCACCAAGCAGATATGAGAGCGGGGAGAGCTGAAGGTATCAGTGAGTTGTCTTGAGGTCCAGACTGGGTAGTGAAAGAAGAGAGGTCAGGAGAGAATGGATAGAAGGGAAGAACAGAAGAGAAGGGAGAGAGGAAGGAGCAAAAGAGAGAAGAGAGATGCAAACAGAACTCTGGGCAATGGTGTTTAAGGGGCAGTCCCAGGAAGCGGATCCCACGAAGGCCCCCAAGACACCTGTACTTATCATGACACTTAATTCAGCTGATTTGGGCCACATTTCCCCTGTCTCTTTCCCATTTTACAGATGAAGAAAAAGTTTCTGCACATTTCAGTGATTTTTTTTTTCTCCTGTGCCACATGGCTTGTTAATTGCAAAGTTGGAAGTTTACCTTAGGTCTCTGAGTCCCAAGCCTTGTACTCTATCCACCAAAAAGGCTTTTATTCTCTCTCTGTGTGTGTGTGTGTACAGAGAGAGAGCTAGATGGATAAAGTGGATGTAGTCACAAAGAAAAAAGAATATATATATATATATTTTGTTAATTATTTACTTTGTGATTCATCAGCTATAAAATATCTCACCTGGGGCTGGTAATTAATCCCCATTCGCCATCAATACCAACCTACGGTCACAAGAAACCACGTCTCCTGGTTATTCATTTGGTCCTTTTCATGGCCCTAGTGGTTTACAAACCTGCTTCCCAGAGACCCCAGGGCACTAGGGCTTCGAGCTGGCTGAGACTGGTGAAGGAGGGAGTGACTCCAAGTCCCCTGTCCCTCCTTTCATGAGAGATGCTCCATTTGCATTTATTTTTTTTTTTTGAGAGTCTGTAGAAATTCATTTTATATATTGGGCTCCATATGTAAAAATAAGTCTGATAAGCCCTACATTGTACCATCCTGCCCATACCTGGGGCTGAACAGAATTAGTTTCACAATCTTTCATGCTGCCTTCCATCTTTTGTATAATCAAAACTTTCTAGGAGTCAAATGAAGCTTATTTCTTCTGGTGGGAGGGAAAGAAAAGAAAGGCCTGTGAATACCTAATTTCAAATTCCAAAATGAGGGCACAGTTCCACATTGTTCATTCATTTCAAACACTGATTCATTCAGGTAGTCCTCAAACATTTATTGAGAACCTATTATTTGCCGGGCCCCGTGTTTTAGTAGAATTAATTGTGTGGAAAAATGAATATTTCAAATCAAATCATATTTTGAATTCATTAGAGGAGCAAAAAAAAAAACACCATTGTGTACGGTGGCAATCCTTTCTTAGCATGTGATCGTTTGGTAACCAGCTTCTTAGTGGAACTTCTTGGAATTAAAAGAGTTTTGTCCCCTTCTTATTCTTAAGGTATGGTTCACCTAACCGCTCCTAAAAAATCACAATTAGAATAGTAATTGCCATGAATTATGAACAAAAGATTTTAAAAGAAAAAGCTTAAAAACTGCCAAAATAAAGGACACTCGGATCTATATCTATCTCAGCTCTTGGCCTCTGGGAGGCCCAATACAGTTTATCCAAGTCTGAACCCTGGAGATAGCTGTCTCTTTTTCTCCCTCCCTGTGGCCTACTTGAGGGGAAAAAAAAAGAGGGAGATGAAGGCAGGAAGGTTCACTTGTACTGAGAATCCACTCTCCATCACTGTCAGCACTGGTCACTTTCTATAAAATGACTCGTTTGAATTTCGCCATCACTAGGCGAGGAGGTTTTGTTTTTCCTATTCACAAATGAAGGCCCTGTGGCTAAAAAAGTTGAAGGCACCAGCCCAGGGCCAGCAAACTAATAGATGTCAGAGTTGGGATCCAGATCAAAGTCTATGGGACTCCTGAACTGTACGACTGCAATAGGATTGGACAAGACGGTGAGGAAACAGGCATGAGAAAGGACCCTCACTAGAGGCTGAGGTTTGCTTTGGGGCTTAGGGAAGCTAAATGCGAACTGACAGCACTCGGGCAGGTTAAACTCAAGATGCACCTAAGCCAGCACTTCTAAACCAGCACTGCCTCGACTGGTCCTCCAAGTAATGGCATGAAGTCACATTCTATTGTCACCACCTTTTAGCAAGAACAAAGGAGATTCAGAGAGGTGAAGAAACTGTCCCAAGGACATCCCAAGAGGATGGCTGGATTTGAACCATCCCCTGCCATGTTTCACAGCGGCAGAGGATGGAATGAAATGACAATGTGGAAAGAAACTTAACCCAATGCTTAGTAAAAATGTAGCAGAGAATTCAGGGTCCCGTGGGTCTGAGTCACTGGAGAAAAAGATGAGCATATTATTTGACTCTGAGCTTCCTTACGGCTGAAATACCAGCCCTTCCCCACTCTTGGCATGTTCACATAAACAACCATCATTACTAAAAGAACAACCTTTCTCTAGTGAAAAGGTCTTGGGGACAGATCAGATCCCACCGCTGCCTAAAGGCATTGTTAGTCTGGATTCTCACAAGGAGTTTTGAAACGAGATTGGCAGAGAGCCTCACACTTGATAATTCCATGCCGCTCTCTACAGCTGCTGTCTTGGTTCCCTGTGGTTGGAGTAGTGTACTATTCAATGATTCATTCCACCGTCCATTCAACACATGGTACTGAGCCCCTACTATGTGCTAAGCCTTATTTTAGCAGGTGAACAAGACAGAAGTCCTTGTCCTTGCTCATAGTCTTTGATCTAGCTCATAGCTTCTACTAGCACGAAGATTATTTGATTTTTATTGCTTCTAGCATTTCCCAATTCATAAATTTGTTGACACATCCACAACTCCATTCGATCTTCACATTAAACACAAGAAGAGTCGCGTGGGTACCATCATCTATGTTTTCATAGAAAGGCTTAAAGGAAATAGGGGATTTGCCCAATGGCTGTGTTATGACAAGAATACTTTTGTGTTCTTTCATTTTAAAAACAAACATAGTAGCTACGCAAAATCCCTGAAATAATAGAGCTGAAATCAGTGGAATGCAAAGTACGTTATAAATGGTAGGTCATGGCCACATTTAAAGTTGAGTGAGGATGAATAAATCGAAAGCTAATTTGAAAGATGTTTTCATGCCCCTCTCATAACTTTGTCCCTTCCTGAGTAGAAAAATGATCTTAAGTTATTTTTCCCGGACCCTTCTTACTCTGCATGAATTTCGTCTTGATCCATATGCCTAGGCAGAGACTCTCTTTCTTAGATTAGAACAGCAGTTCTCAACCTGTGGGTCGTGACCCATAGAAACTGTATTAAAGGGTCGCAGCATTAGGAGGGTTGAGAACCACTGGATTAGAAGGATCCAGAATGTAACTTTACAGTGGACAACATACATTCTCTTCCCAGGGGGCTCTCAAAAGAGCACCTTTTGGTTTTTAAAGCTCATCTGGCTCCCCAGAGCTTGGGGATTCTCTTTGCTTGTGCCCTGGGAAATGAGGTCAGGGCTTCACTACCACAAAAGCAGCTGGTGGCCCTGCCCCACTGCAGAAATACTGTCATGTATGATATTTTAAGATTATTTGGGGCCTGGGAGATAGGCCAGCCCAGCCTTGGCTTATGAGACAGCTGGGAATGTGAGTGGCAGAGCCCTTACAAACAAGACACGCAGATGTGGAATCCCACAGAGAAGCCTTTTGATCTTGGTGATCCATGTCACTTCTGCATAGCTAAGAGCTTCCAGGAGAGACAGGTCTGTTTACTGCAGAGCGTGGGCAAAGACACAAGGGCATTGGCATGGAGGGCTCAGGACATGCAAGTGTTGTAATGGAGGGGTTCAAGGTGGCTGCCCTTCCTAGCAGATGTGGTTGTAGTATCTTGTCAATGGTTGTCAGCTGGCAACCTGTTTTATATGTGGCTCCCCCATTGGACTGTCAGGTGAGCAAGGACCACATTTATTTCCCCTTCCTCTAGTACAGGCCTTGATAAATAAAGTGCTAAATAAATATGTTAATTTATAAATAAACACAGGGAGCACAGGGAGCCACTTGGGGCAAGAGCACAGGGAGTCTCTGGCCAGGCTCCCTTCCCCAGGCACCCTCACCTCGGCAGACTGGCCTGTGGTCGCTCCAGGCAGCAAACATGTCGCTCACTTTCATACAGGTGATCCGCTTGGACCCTTGCAGGTCATAGCCCTCATTGCAGGTAAACTGGACACTGGATCCTAACCTGGGAGACAAGGTGTGTCTGTGAGCTCAATCCCGGGGCCTGCCGTGCCCCGCCCTGAGCTCTTCCTGGTTCCACGAAGAAGTGCCACGTGGAACATTATTTCTCTTTCTGGCCCTTAATCTCTGCTCCACTGTTTTATCACTGAAAATCTCCATCGGAAGGAACATCTGCTCTCCATCTTTTTCCTTTTATTGACCATTTAATGGTTTTAGGATTGAGTTAAAAGGTGACTTTGTGAACAACACAGCAATCCTCTGAGATAAGCATCAGCTAGGGCAGCTAAGGGTGGGTGGATGACACCCGTAAACTTTAATGAAAAGGGAGGATTATGGGAAAATGCCTGGATAATGAAAAAGTTTGCAAACATGACATTGCTAGGCCCTAGGGCCTGCTAGATTATCACAGGTGTGAGCTGCCTGCGGAAGCATCATTACTGAAATGGCAGCCCTCTGTGCCCTGGGTGTTACCCTGGCAGTCTTTAGGCCCCTCATAAAGCACAGGCAGTGTTCCAAAGGCTGGGCCAGGGGAGACTGTTAAAGGCCATGGCTCTTCTCCAGAAAGTATCTGTTCCTGTGCCCACGCCATTCTCTCCATGCCCACCTCCAGGAAGGCCAGCCCCTGAGTTCCCCCAAGCCGGGCCACCCCACCTTCTTACAATCAAGAAGTTCCCAAATAGGTCTTACCTGAAATCCGAGCCTAGTCTTTTGCCCCTTTCGGGTACGCCAGGATCTGGACACATATTATGTCCTTGGGATACACCAACCTGAGTTACTACAAGGCAAAAAAACAGCATATACAGAGATGGGTAGTCACAGGAAGACACCGCTAGGGCAATGTCTCAGGGTGGGAGGTGGAAGCAGACACAGAATGAGGCCCTGCTTTGCTGGGCCCATGTGGGATGGCTGGGCTTCTGGCCTGGGCTTTCCTGAGTGTGCAAGGTGGTCAGCTGCTGTGAGCAAGGTCATTTAGAGCATGTGGGTTCAAAGACAGGCCTCCATCCCAACCACCCCCCAGTTCCCTTGTCCCACACCAGCGGCCAGAGGTGGCCTGTCCACAGCCCCTGGTGACCTCCCCACCCTGTGCTACAGGTCTGGGGGTGGAGACTTTAGATGAGATGAGCCCCCCCACCTCAGCCCCAAATGGAGAAATGGCTCAAAGAAAGTTAAATAAAAAAGGTGGATGCATGGTCAGAAACGGTAAAGCATGTAAGAGAGAGATGCAGTCTGAAGTTCAAAGCAGGGACTGTCGCTGGAACATGGACATCTCCTCTGAGACACCTCTTCCCATCAGACACTTCTCAAGCCACAGTAAGCAGGAACCGGAGCACCCCCCACCCAATGCCACTGGCCAAAGGCACTCAGTAGTAGTGATGGCACCTGTGATGGTTCTGGCAGGTGGTGTGATGCTCTGACACTGGCCAACACCAATGTCCTATTTACAAAAACCATATGCACAGTTGTCTCGGCCAGAGGAGACGCTGGGTTGGGGCGGCGGATACACACGCGATGGAGAGGGTGGGAACCCTTGGCCCCTGCCTGTTAATCGTTCACGGGATGCACATATTGATGAGGCTGGAACCCCTCATACCCCTGGATTTCTAGCTTTGTGAATGAGCAGGAGCTGGGGCCAGGCAGACAGCCTGGTCACAGGAGCTCCATTCAAGAACTCACCAATCCCCCACTCCCAAGAGCAACCTCTAGAGGAGGGATGGCAGGGCATCTGGAGCAACGTTCCCTGAGTTTACACATTTCCCTCCCATTCCCCTCAGTGCCTCATGGTGTGAGCAAAGCGCTTCACCACCCACACGCACTCACTCACATAGGTATATAAGCATTCACTGAGCACCTACTGTGCACAAGGCTTTATTTGGATACCACGAGAAATGCCAAGAATAGTCACGTATGTCCTCTGTCCTCAAGGAGCTTCCAGTTGAGTGAAGACATGAAATATGGAAACAAACAGTGGGACATAGGGGAGGATGCAAGACGCAGCTGCGGAGATGTTGTGGGGAAGGCCAGACTCACAGTACTGGGAGGAGTGGGAAAGGCCGCTGGAGGAGGCGACATTGAATATGGACCTTCTGAGGCAGCAGGATTTGGACACGTGGCAGCAGAGGTGATAAAGGCATGAGGTGTGAAGTGGAAACATGGAAACAGAATTAGGGGTGGCCCGTGCAGTGGGGAGGGTGAAGGATGACAAGGGACACTAGAAGGTGAGTTTTCAGAGATCAGCCTTGGAAAAGGTTCCCGTCAGATCCTGAAAATGACTGGGCATCACCGAGGCGTTCCAAGGGGTAAAAGGGTGTGGTGAGACCCATTATTCAGGGTGGGCTGGTTACTGTGAGATGAGTTAGGAATTGTTGTGATTATCCGGATTGAGGACAGGAGCCTGGTAATGGAAGCGGATATGACACGGTGGGAAGGACATGGCTAAGGAAAAATCCCCGGGGCTCATGGAGGGCCAGGGCATGAGGGCAGGGAGCAGGGGTTTCCAGGGCTGGGTACCTGCGAGGATGCAGGGGGATCTCCTGGAGGGGAGAAGGCAGGGAGCCCTGTGTCAGACTCACTGAGTCTAAAGCTCATGGCTATAGTCTGAGGTCTAGTGTTGACCTGGTTCAAACCTCCAGGTAGCCCAGGATGGCCAGGGAACCTGAGGATTCAACAGACTGCACACTCAAGCCAGACGTCAGATATGTCCCCGGTTGTGTGCGGTGAATGCAATGCCTCCTGTTCACTTCCCTTTCTCCGACATTCCACACTGCCAGGTTAATGCCGGTCCCCCCACTGTATACTTGTCCCCTACCCCCATTCCCTTCTTTGCCGAACCTCTAATTCCAAAGCTTTCGCATCCTAAACTTAACAAAGTCACTGTTCCCACCAGTCCAGACACCTGCAGGCTGGGTTGATGAGATGGAACACCATCCCCCACAGCACAGCACACTCCTGCCTCCTGGGAGCCTCATGCTTCACAAGTAATGGAAAGAAGACGTCACCTCTCTAGGGTACCTGGGAAAGGCTGTGAGGAATCCTGAGCTGCACTTGTTGGTTTATCAGCCCCCCCATATAGCCTCATGGAGATCTGTCCCCACTGTGGACTTCCCAGCTAAAGACCCACCTCTTGTTAGGTCTTCCCTACTCAACACTGCCCTGGCACCACATCCACCCCAAAGTCCCTGCCGACCACCACATGGGAGCCACACAGCCCCCTTGTAGCACACGAAGAATAAATACACAGCAGTTTCTTGCCCCCACTCCTGCCCTCTCATTCAGCAGTGACACCACCCAGGAAGCAGGCCGAGCAGGTGGCCGCCCGATGATAATGGGGATGGACCCAAGAGGAGATGCCATTGCAAAGGCCACCCACCAAGACACAGCTCCAACAGACAGCGCAGATCCCACTGTCTCCCCTGAAATCAGCCAGCCCCAGAGGAGGATCAGGCGCCATGTAGGAAGTCAAACCCAGAGGTGACGCCATGAACACCTGGCCAGTTTTCTCTCCCAGGGAGCACTGAGAAGACAACAGCTGTCCCCAGAGGACCTTCCAGGTTCCCCAGGAAATAAGCAAACTTAAATCTCAGCACACAGCTTACTGTTTGAATTACAGAGGCAAGAGGTATTGCCCCTTTCATTTGGTAATTCCAGCCTTCACTGTCTAATTCAACACCAGCTGCTTGTATTTGTTGATGTCTACTGAGGGACAGAAAGAAGGATGAGACTTATCCATCTTGGGAGGGTCACTTTGGTGAGGAAGAAGCCACATCATGTCCAGAAAGGCAATACCTTCTACCCAAAGTGCTGGGAGACACAGACAGGTGGCTGGCCAGAACTGATAGCCAGGGGTCCATGTCCCCATGGGCGGCCTACTAACATGGACAGTCTACTAAAGGCACAAAACCAGGTCCAGACCTCCCCTGAAGTTCAGGACAGCTGTCTGCAGGGAAGGTGGGTAGAAAACCAAGGGCCAGACACCTGCAGACACGTGGCCACTTGCTTCCAAGGCCTCTGGAGTCACATACCCATCTTTCTGTGAGGAACTCTAAAGAAGACTAGTATCTTTTTGGCAGAGACAGACCCATTTTTTTCAGAGACTGCATTTCATTAGAACAGAATTCCTTCATCTTTCTGAGAGAGTTCTGGGCATCTCTAAGCAGCTAATGAAAACCACAGACCCTCTCTCAGGGAAATTCACTGACAATGTCGCATATCATTTTTCATCTAGTTTATGGACCTCTTGAAGTCCTCAGTGAAGGCCACCTTAGATCCAGTAGCACCCTTGGGAAGAAGGCAGGGTAGGAATCTGCATCCCCTTTCTACAGATGTGGACAGACACTGAGACATTAGCACAATTGGGATATACACTTGGCTCCCAAACCAGAGCCATTTCCTTAAGTTTGCCTGTGGCTTCAGGACAAGCTCTAAAATTCAACCAGCCCCTCCTCAGTTCACGTGGTCTCCTGGGACTACAGAAGGGAAGAGCCCGTGAGGTCCAGGCTAACACTGGAGCCCTGGCTGCAGAGTCCTGGCCTGCCCTGGCTACCTTCTGCCATCCAGCCCATTCAGGGTGAGGGTGACCAGAGATGCAGCCCCCAGCTAAAGTCAACCACCAGTGGCACCTTGTCTCCATTGAGAGGGCTTGAAAGACCAGAGGAAATCCCCACCTGGGCTCCACTTGGTCCAGGCCAGAGACCAAACTGCCCCTGCCCCAGCCTTCTCCCAGCCACACAGAGCCCAGGACCATGGCACCGCCCTGTGCATGCCCCTCCCCTATGCGGACTTCCGGCATCTCCAGGAAAGTGAGCTTGTGGAGCCAAGACAAAAGGAGGGGATGGGGGGAGGGTGGTGGGAGCAAGTGAGGCCCAGGAGAGAAATGGGGGGACGGCGGGGGGGGGTGGTAGAAAGAGAGGTAGGGGGGATGGGGAAGAAAAGGAAGAGCAGAGGGCAAGAAGGCCTTGAGAGAGTTAGGGGGCACAACAGAGGGACAAAGGGAGGAAAGGAGAGGGGAAACCAGAAGGTTGGTTGGTTGTAGGGGGAACCAAGGAAAGCTCCCCACATTCCCCCAGGAGGAAAATGGAGCCTTTCTGGAAAAACCACCTCTGCTTTTGAGCTCAGCCTTGTAGGGTACCCAGAATCTTCCCCACCCTTCCTGCATTCTAGCCCTAAAATGTTGTAGCACAGGCTCCAATCACGCATATCTGAGGCCAACATTCCAGACCATTCCCCAACACTGGGCCTCTTTTAATCAGCCATACACTGGGAGCAGGAACATGTTCTCAAAGCTGTCATCCTCCCTGGGCCCAAGCAGAGGCGCCAGTGCTTCCCTAGTGCCCGAGAGCAGGCCCCACCCCTCTTTGCCCAGCCCCGTTCAGGAATCCTCAGAGGAGGTTATTGGGAATCCTCCTCCCCACCCCATTCCCAGTCTAACCTTAGGGGGTGGAATTGGAGCCCCGCAGCCCCCAAGATCCTTGCCTGAGGTTATTGACTCCTAAAAGAGGAGCCGAAAAGACTGTCTTAGCAGGTGGAGTGATTCAAAAGGAAAAATAAAGAGAGAAATGTAGCAGTAATGGCTCCCTGGACTGCAGTTCGAATGGGAAGTGAGGGAGGAATTGGATAAGGAGGGAAATGGGAGGAGGAGAAGAAGGCAGAGGACAGGCCCCAGGCTGCTCGCTGGCCACTGGGTCAGTGTGTCCATGCACAGAGCCCGCGAGGGAGGGAAGCAGGGTCGAAGGGAAGTCATTCCAACATCATCTGGCTTCCCCGCGGTCACAGCGCCGGCGGGTCTGACCTCCAGCCCCGGGCAGACACTTACACACAGATGTCTTCTGGCTGTTATCTTTGCTGGGCATCAGCTTCACGCCTCGAGACTTCAGCTCAATTTGCTTCTTAACTAGAGAGAAGACAAGAAGAAAAGTGGTTTGAGTTGTCTGTGACCAGGGATGGGAGTCCCTCTAGAACACTGTTTTTCAACCTTTTTTTAAGGTTGGTACACTTGAACTTATACACTTCCATGGCACACTTAAATTATGTTGATCAAAAAAACAAAGAGTAAAAAGAAGAATACACTTACTGTGCTTTGAACTTCTTTTGAAAATAATCTAATTAATGATCCTTAAAAATTTTGGCAGCACACCTAAGGTCCTCTCACAGGGCACTGGTTGAAAATCTCTGCTCTGCAATGATCCCCTCCTTTGGTCTGGGACTTCTATGGTGGGTTGAAGCCAGGAACTTCTCTGGGCTGGGCCCTACCAAGAGTAGTATTCAAATACAGTGGGGTCTCTGACATGAAGGAGAGCTGCTAGGGAGGCTGGCTCTCTAGGGGAGGCAGGAAAGGTGGTCTCCCCCCGTTACACCCTTTGCTGTGTGATTCTGTCCCTCTTTACAGAGGTGGAGTATAGGTCTCCATTCCTTGACTTGGGCATGTGACTTGCTTTGGTCATTAGAAATTTGGAGTCCTTGACATGTCCAAAGGCTTGAGAAACACCTGCCAGAGAAGGCGTGCCCTCTTGCATCACTGCAATCATTGAATGACAGCATGCCTGGTCCCAAGAGGATGAGAGGCACATGGGGTGGGGTCAGCCTTGCCTGGTCCATCCTACATCAGCCAACCTATGCAGGCAGGAGAAAGTGAGTCCTGGGGTTCACTAAGGCATGTTATCTGGCTCAGGTGAGTGCCTGAGGGATCAAATCTGCCTTCGACCCTGTCACTAAGTCCATTCCTTAGCTCTCTAGAACTTTGCCAAATAGCACACAAAAGGTGTCAGATCTAGAACGCCACAATTCTGAAGGCCACCTCTTTGTATCCATCATCTGGCTACTCCTGCTCCTCCAAGCACTCTCCTGAGGGCTTCATCTAGTCTCTAGTTATCTTCCCAAACCCAGATCCTGTGCCATCCTCCAGCCAGCCCCTGCCTGCCACCTTAGCCCCATCCAGACTAATGCCCAGCAGTGGTGACAGCAGCTGTGACCAGGCACTTCTCATGTGCCAGGCCCTGGGAGCTTTACAAGCTCTTTCCTTAACTCAACATCCTGGACTCCTCTCTCTCACACCCACATGTGATCCATCAGTAAAGCCTTCCAAATATATCCCGGCTGCAACCAGTTGTCACAACTTCCACGTCTATCACCCTGGTCCAAGTTGCCGACACCTCTCCCCTCATTACCATGGTCTCCTATCTTTCACCCTTGCCCACATAGAGTCTGTTCTTAGCACCAGAGCCGAGGAATACTGTTAAAACATAAGTCAATCCAAGCTACAGCCCTGCTCAGAACTGCTCAGAGTAAAAGCCAACATCTTTAAAATGGCCTGCAAGGACCAATCTGCTCTCCCCTCAACCTCCCCAGCCCTATCTTCAACCTCAGTCACTCCTCTCCAGCCTCTTGGGCCCCCTGATGTGCCTACACTATGCCAGGCATGCTCTTCCTCAGCCTGCCAGGTCCCCAGAATGCTTCCCTGCCCCTGAGATAGCTGTATGACTTGCTCCCTGTTGAGTTTGTGCAAACAACTCGCTCCCTCCTTGAAGAGTTCGTGCAAGTAACACTTCCTCATGAAGGCCCTCTCTGATTGCTCCATTAAAGTGATACCTCCAAACCCAGCCCTCTTGCTTCTCTACTTATACACCCAATTTTCTAACACACTGTATCATTTACTTAGTTATTTTTGTCACCCCACATTGCAATGGAAACTCCACTAAGGCAGGGATTTTTATTCATTGCTGTGTCCTCAGTGCCTGGAATACATGTAGTTAGTGCCTGGTGGCACTCAATCCTCATTCCATTTGGTCTTTATACTGTCAATGACCTTGACTGGTAGTTATTAAACCTACTTGGTGGATAATAGAATGGTGGTTCAAAGTGGTTTGGGTGCCTTGCTGTAGGCCACACAGTCAGGAGGCAGCTCTGCGCCCAGCTGAGCCTCAGCTTATTTCCTTGTGTCTGGTCCCAAAGTGATGCCAGGGGTACTGTCAATCTTCCCGAGGATCTGTCCCCCACCTCCCCACCTTGAGCTCAGCCCCTGAAAATTCAGTATTTGCTCTGGAGTTGAGGGGACATGCCAATCCCCAAACCACAGCCACAGTGATCAGATGTGCAAGGGAGCGGCTCCCAGTCCCCTTCTCTGGCCACCTCACAAAATTCCCCAAGGGTTTGTCCCCTGGCAAGCCACAGTCTATGCTGAATGCCTGACAAAATTCAGTTATTACCACAGGCATAGCCTCCCAACACGCGTTCAACCCCCTTTTATAAATGTGCATCACTCTCCGTGTGTATCCAGCAGGAAAATTTCCAATGAACACTAGCGTGGGCCCATTACCAGACAGAGGGAATTAGTGAGAAAATATGCATTATTCAAGTCTCACTAATACGGTGCGGCGGGGGGAAATCCCTCTGATTTGCCATCCCAAGGAGGACAGGAGCAGTGCCAGCACGGCAACAACAGCTCAAGCACTGGGACAGGGGTGGGTGAGCGTTCTTTGTGACCCAGTGAAGCCCATTGGAGGCCAGGTAGAGACAGCTCAGAGTACTTGGTCTAGGAGGAAGGGAGGTCAGAGTTGTGCTAGTCTCTTTCTCTCAGGATCTGGTGTCAGGGGAGGCCATTCCCAGGGCAAAGCTGCTTGATTTTCCTTGCAGCTGCTGGTGGGAGTGTGTGAGATGTAGGTGGCCACAAGAAGCATTGCTATAGGAACCCTCCCTTTCCCTCTCCTCCAGGTTGCATGGAGGAAAATGGTCCTCCTCCTGCTCCTCTCAAGGCCCTGAAGGCATCCTTCTGATGTCCTCTCCACTTGTCCCTCCCCAGGAAGAACTGTCTGACCTGATGGGTCAGTGCTTAATATTCACTGGGCAGCTTTTAGCGTGATGATGTCATCATACCTCTCACACTGGGACTAACTTCTGTTCTTCCTCTTTCGTGTCCTGCTACTTCCCATGGATGTAGTTTGTCAAGGTGATGAGAACAGAATGAGAAGGCAGCTGAAATCAACAGGGGCTCCTTAATGTGCCTGTGAATTTGGTGACTTTTCATTCCATTGGGCTGGGTAGAGAGGTCGCATTAGCCATGTGGTCTGTGACCACCAGGATAGAGTTTCTGTCCTCATCCTATTATCCTGGGGACCTGCATTTGCTGCAGAGCTTTGGGCAAGGATCCTCCTACCAATAACACAGTCTCTGAAAGATGTACATCTGGGCCCAGCTGGCGAGCCCCAGGTTCTGGGGACAGGGCACCTGCAGTTGGCCCACACACTTGAGAGCTGATGAATGGGGTCATGTAACTGAGCGGTAAGTTCTGGGCAAGATCTCTATCACCGGGGATATTGGCATTAAAAAAGAAAAAGAAAAACAAAAACAAAAACTCCCCCATGTTGAGGTTTCAGTTCTTGAGCAATTCCAAGGAAGTGGTCATGCCCTGACTTCCACGTAGCTGATTTGTGTGTTTTAACAGTCCACTCGGGTGGACTGTGATCATGGAGTATGGGACACCATGTGAAATCAGCTGCAAAATGAGCTCATTGATGAGTTAGTTCAACAGACCAGGGTGCAAAACATCAGAGACTGCGGGCAGGTCCCCTCAGCCCCTCCAGGCCTCCAGAGTGCACAACCAGCAGATACAGTCTAAAAGGAAATTCAAATCCAGCAGATGGACAAAAGAGCAGGAGTTGGGTATCTCAGTGGGTGGGGCACCAGCCACATACACTGAGGCTGGCAGGAAAGAGCCCAGCCTGGGACAGCCAAATGACAATGACAACTCCAACAACAACAACAAAATAGCCAGGTGTTGTTGTGGGCACCTGTAGTCCCAGCTACTTGGGAGGCTGAGGCAAGAGAATCGCTTAAGCCCAAGAGTTTGAGGTTGCTGTGAGCTGTGACGCCACGGCACTCTACCAAGGGCGACATAGTGAGACTCTGTCCAAAAAAAAAACAGGCAAGGAGCTAGAGAATTTCTGAGAGGTATTCATTCCTGTTGTTTGGGTATTCTTTTGTGGAACATCCACTAGCCTTTTTCAACAATATTACACGAAACCACTGGTCTCTAAAGAGACTATTCTGGAACAGTCAATATAGGGGAGATAAAATGGAACCCGGAGTGGACGCCCACGTCCATGTGTCCCTCTCCGGGCATACATGCGTATCTACGTCTATATCCAGCTCGTCCTCAAGTGCACATGGCTACAAACAGCCACATACAAAATACAAGTCACACGCGTATGCTCTACACATTTTTTTTTCACTGCATGTGAACAAAGTCAGGACTCCCAGGAGAAGAGTGCTGGCTCTAACTGGTTGATGGAAATCTTACTAGGTGCATTCATCTCCTCTGAATGATAATGACTACAGGAGACTGCCAGGCTGCTCCATTCATCCTTTATATTCTGGTTAATTACAAGACATTTCCCCGCTGTTGTAAAGGTTAGCGGGACACATGGTACACATTTAGCTAGAAGAATCTGGCAATACAAATGCCTCTCTAGTCTGCAGCATGAGTTATTGGGCCGAGCTAGTGGGAGATGAGGACCTGTTAGGGGAGGAGAGAGGAGAGGGAGGCCTAACCTGTGCTGTGGGAGTGGAGGAGTGGATGGAATCTGCAGCTCCTTAAAATCTCACTGGATTCAGACTCTCCTCTGTGGGAGTGAGCCGCTCCACTAACCTTGACTCCTCCCCAAATGAACATCTAGCAAAACTTCAGATGGAGTGGCCACACTGAAGATGGATGGGGAAAACGATGTGGACAGAAATGAAAAGAAACAGACTCCAGACACATGGAATAAGTGGTCGGCTCTGGTGCATTTCATCCTTTGAGTCACAGCTCCAGCTAATGAAGAGTAAAAAATTAATACAGAAATAATTAAAAGAACACTCAAAATTCTAGTAATAACCATTGCTAAGAACGCAGGTGTT